GGTGTATCACAGTGTCTTAGTCTCTGTGTTGCTGTTCACTGTTCTCCGTGTCTGACTGTATGTGTGTGTGTGTGAATGAAAAGTTTGCTGAGCTGCTGTCACATCCTAATAGGATAATAACGAGCCAAGGCAAGCGAAAGTTGTTGCGCCTGCAACTTCCAAATAAAATATGTAGCCAAACAATAAACGATGATAAGGGGCCAAAGAACGTGTCGTTCGCTCAGCCTTTTCCCACCAGCACACCAAAAAAGAGAATGAAATGAAGAAGCGAAACACCAAAGACCAACGCCCCAATCTCATCCCTGCAGTCATTATATGCCAGTTCACTTAGATGCCGCCGAATCGGTTGCTGTCCTGTCCGAAAGGACAACGCCCGCTACAGAAAACTGATAAGCAAACGACTTGCGGCAAAGTGCGCGTATAATGCCCGGCCTAGATCCATTCCATAAAGAAAAACACAACTCGTCAGTGCAGCTGGTCATGGATGACTGCGTAATGCTCGCGCAATGATAGAAATTCCATGGGATCTCTGCTTGAGACTGGACAGACTAGATCTTATGCGAATTACAAGCCCCTACACTACTTATATTCAGTTAGGTTTTCAATATTAGCTTACGCAACCCCATATACTCGTCTCGCTTGTCGAGCGGGCATGAGAAAAAGTCCCTGAAGTGAATGGGATGCGATGCGATGGGATGCGATGCGGCTTTTCCAGTTGCCCATATGGTGGGTTAGGCGGCGCTGGGCGTGCGATGTTGTTGTTGATGTTGATGTTGGCGTAGTTGGAAGCCGGATAGGCGTTGCTTGTAGCTGCCAAATGGTAATTTATGGGCGGTACGCAGCCAAACGGGTAGGCGGCTTTAAAACGGTTCCCTAAATCGTAGTTCGGTACGGCGCTCGACTACCGACTACCGACTGCTGCTGTTGCTGTTGCTGCATACCAATGCCAAATTGAATTCGGCCAGGGATAAAGCAACGCGAGCGAATGTCTCTTTAGCGGCCCAAATCCTATTTGTACATCATCTCAAAGGTGGCTTTAAAGGATAAACTGCAAAGTGGGAATTGACTACGGCAACTGGCTAAGGCTTTGTAGAGCTGTTTTGTATCTAAACGCCCCGCTGGAACTACTACCATATATCTAACTATATGATGCATAGCAAATTGCAAAGTGTTGAATTGTGGAATGTGGGTGCTATGTAGGGACGGGGTTAAGGTGTAATTTACAGGGTACTTTTTGGGGATAGGACTGCAAATTGGCATTTGAATGGGAAAGTGAG